CCAAATTGGCCCCGCCCCCCGAGGCCACGCCCGCGCCCTTGGCCACGCCCCCCGCCGCCGTCCCCGCCCGGCCCAAGTGGGTGCCCCTGGCCGAGCTGCACCCGGCGGCACCGCAGCCCCCCCCGCCCCGGGGGGGCACCCCAGGGACCCCCAAATGGGTCCCCATCGGGGGAGGGGCACAGCAGCCCCTCCCCCCGCAGCCGGCCCCGCCCGGCACCGAGGGGGGGACCCCAAAAACGGCCTCCGAGGGGACCCCCGGGGCCACCAAACAACCCCCAGAGGGGACTCTGGGGACCCCCGGGGTCACCAAACCCCCCTCAGAGGGGACACTGGGGACCCCCGGGGCCACCAAACCCAACCAGGAGGGGACTCTGGGGACCCCCGGGGTCACCAAACCCCCCCCAGAGGGGACATTGGGGACCCCCAGCAGCGTCACCACCCCCGGTGCCACCAAACCGACCCCGGAGGGGACGGGGGGGACCCCAAACGTCACCCCAAATGTCACCAGTGCGAGTGTCGCCCCAAACGTCACCCCAAATGTCACCACCCCCGGCGTGACCCCCCCGGCGACCCCCAAATCGGCGCCGCCGGAGGAGAAGCCCCCGGGGGCGGCCCCCGCGGCCGAGGGGGCCACCAAAGTGTCCCCAGGGCCACCCCCAGCAAAGGGTGACGCCAAACTGGGAGTGACCGACGCCAAACCGGGCGTGAACGGCACCAAACTGGGAGCCAACGAGGGCAAACTGGGCGCTGGGGACGCCAAACTGTGTGGTGGGGACGCCAAACTGGGCGGTGGTGACATCAAACTGGGCGCTGGGGACATCAAAGTGGGCGCTGGAGACATTAAATTGGGCGCTGGGGACCCCAAATTGGGTGCTGGTGATCCCAAACCTTTGCTGTCCCCTCCCCAGGCCGCCCCTAAGGCTCTGTCCCCGCCCGTCCCCAAACTGGAGGTGACCCCCCCCGCCCTCCCCAAGGCCATGCCCGCGTCCCCCAACGTCCCCCAAAACCTCCCCAAATCCCCCGCGGACCCCAAACCCCCCAAAACCTCCCCGGAGCCGCCTCCCAAGGCGGCGCCGCCCCCCCAAACCTGGCGGCGGCAGCAGCGGCGGCAGCGCCGCCCCCACCCCCCCTCTGCCCCCTCCCTGCCCCCTCCCCGGGCGTCCCCCAGGGCCACCCCGCCCCCCCCTCCCCCGGGGCTACCGCGGGCTCTGTCCCGGGGTCCCGGGGGCACTTTGGGGTCTCTGCTGCCCGCCGCCCGCCTCAGCCTCCCCTCCTCGCCCGTGGCCGCCTCGGCGCTGCCGCCGCTGCTGCCGCCGCCCCGGCTGGGCCACGCCAAGGGGGGGGCGCCCCTGGGGGCCACCGGCGGCTACGGGGTGGCTCCCAGGGCCGGGGGGGTCGCCGGCACCGTGATGGACAATAAGGTGGCCACCAGAGGGGTCGGTGGCACCGGTGTCGCCGTGGGGGCTACCAGTGTCACCGTGGGGGCCACCAGTGCCGCCCGTGTCACCGTGGGGGCCACCAGCGTCACCGTGGGGGCCACCAGTGCCACCCCGAAGGCCACCGGTGTCGCCGCGGCCACCGCCCTGGACAGCAAGGCCACCACCCCCGGGGACAATAAGGTCGCTCTTGGTGGCTCCGTTCAGGCCACGCCCACGGACAGCGGGGTCACCTCCAAGGCCACCAGTGTCACTGTTGTGGATGGCAGGGCCACCAACGTCACCCCCACGGATGCCAGGACCACCAGTGTCACCCCCACGGATGCCAGGACCACCAGTGTCACTGTCGTGGATGGCAGGGCCACCAACGTCACCCCCACGGATGGCAGGGCCACCAGTGTCACCTCTGGGGCCACCAGTGTCACCTCTGGGGCCACCAGTGTCACCTCTGGTGTCACCCCTGTGGACAGCAAGGCCGCCGGCGTCGTCCCCGGTGTCACCAGTGCGGAGAACAAGGCCACCAGTGCCACCAGTGCCACCAGTGCCACCAGCACAGAGAACAAGGCCACCGGTGTCACCGTGGGAGCTGCCGCTGCCGCCGTTGTCACCAGTGTCACCCCCAAGGCCACTGGAGCCGCCACCAGTGTCACCAGTGCCACCAGTGTCACCCCCAAGGCCACTGGAGCCGCCACCGTCAGCCCCAGTGTCACCAGTGCCACCAGTGTCACTGTGGGAGCCGCCAGTGTCCTCACGGGGGCCACCAGTGTCACCACGGGGGCCACCAGTGTCACCCCCAAGGACACCAGTGTCCTGTCAGGAGCCACCAGTGTCACCCCCAAGGCCACCAGTGTCCTGTCAGGAGCCACCAGTGTCACCCCAGAGGCCACCACTGTCCCGCCGGGAGCCACCAGTGTCACCGTGGGAGCCACCAGTGTCCCCCCCAAGGCCACCCCGACCGTCATCGTGGGTGCCACCCCCGTCCTGGTGCCCCGGGGTGTCCCCGTGGGGGTCCCCGCGGGCGTGAGCCCCCTGGGCGCCGCCATCCTGCGCGCCAGCGCCGACGCCACCGCCAAGGCCACCGCCATGGCCACCATGGCCACACCGCGGGCCAGCGCCGCCACGGCCACCGCCACGGCCACCGCGGGGGCCCTCGGGGCCACCAGTAACACCAGTAACACCAGTAACGTCAGCGTCATCGCCAGCAAGGCCACCGGCGCTCCCAGTATGACCAGTGCTCTCTCCAAGGCCACCGCCGGTGTCACCAGTGCTCCCAGTGCGCCCCGGGCCACTGGCGTGACCAGCGTGACCAGTGTGGCCAGTATGACCGGTATGACCAGTGTGACCAGCGTGACCAGCGTGACCAGTATGACCAGTGCTCCCAGTGTGACCAGTGTGGCCAGTTCTGGGAGTGTCACTGGTGTCCCCAGTGCTCCCAGTGTCACCAGTACCACCAGTGCTGCGGTTCCCAGTGTCACCAGTGCCGCCAGTGCCACCAGTGCTGGAGGGGCCACCACTGCTCTGAGGGCCACCAGTGCGACCAGTTCTCCCAGTGTCACCAGTGCTGTGGTTCCCACCGTCACCAGTGCGACCAGTATGACGAGCCCTGCGGTTCCCAGCGTCACCAGTATGACCAGCCCTGCGGTTCCCAGCGTCACCAGTGCAACCAGCACGACGAGCCCCGCGGTTCCCAGTGCGACCAGTACGACCAGTGGGAGCAGCCCTACAGCTCCCAGTGTCACCAGTGCGACCAGTGTGACCAGTCCAGCGGTTCCCAGTGTCACCAGTGCTCCCAGCACGACCAGTGTCACCAGTGCTGCTGCTCCCAGTGTCACCAGTATGACCAGTGTCACCAGTGCTGCTGCTCCCAGTGCGACCAGTCTCGCCAGTTCTGCAGCTTCCAGTGTCACCAGTGTCCCCAGTGCTGGAGCTCCCAGTGTCCCCAGTGCTGCTGTTCCCAGCGTCACCAGCTCGACCAGTATGACCAGTGCCACCAGTGCTGCTTCTCCCAGTGTCACCAGCGCTCCCAGTGTCACCAGTGCTGCCGTTCCCAGTGTCACCAGCACTCCCAGCGCTCCCAGTGTCACCAGCACTCCCAGTGCTCCCAGTGTCACCAGTGCTCCCAGTGTCACCAGTGCCGCCCCTCCCAGCACCGACAGCGCGGTTGCCGCGGACACGGGCGCTCCCAGTGCTCCCAGTGCTCCCAGTGAGGCCCCCAAGAGCTCGTCGTCCTCGTCCTCCTCCTCCTCCTCCTCCTCCTCTTCCTCCTCCTCCTCGTCCGACTCCGACTCCGACTCCAGTTCCAGCTCCTCCGAGTCCGGCCCGCCCTCGCCGGCCCCGCCCACCGGGTAAGGCCACGCCCCCCTGCCCCGCCCCCATTGGTCGATCCCCTGACCCTTAACCCCCTTCAGCCCCGCCCGCAGCAGGCGAGGCCACGCCCACCGAGCGAGGCCACGCCCACGCGGTGAGACCCATCTGGCCCCGCCCACTGTGGAGGAAGCCCCGCCCATGAGATGTGGCCACGCCCCCTTTTGCGTGTCGGTCCTGATTGGGTGAGACCCCCCCTTGGCCCCGCCCGCGCTGAAGGAGACGTGGCCACGCCCACAGGGTAGAACACGCCCCCTGTTGCACTTGGCCACGCCCACATTGACTCAGGCCACACCCCATCATTCAACGAAGCCCCACCCACAGGGAATGAGGCCACGCCCCCTTTCACACTTGGCCCCACCCACATCAGCATAACCCCCACCCCACTGTGTGAGGCCCCTCCCACCACGAGGCCCCGCCCCTTGCACTGAGAACACTTGGGAAGGCCCCGCCCCTCCTGGGCCCTGGCCACGCCCCCCCCCACCGTGGCCACGCCCTCCCGCTGTCCCCAAGAGTCCCTTTAGGGGGGTCCCCGTGTCCCCAAGGCCCCGCCCACTCACATCCCGTGTCCCCAGGGGTCCCCCAATCAGGGTCCCACATCCCTGGGGTGTCCCCCACCCCTGTCCCGTGTCCCCAGGGGTCCCCCCAACAGGGTCTCACATCCCTGGGGTGCCCCCCACCCCTGTCCCCTGTCCCCAAGGGTCCCCTAATCCTGTCCCCAGGGGTGTCACCCACCCCTGTCCCGTGTCCCCAAAGGTCCCCCAACAGGGTCTCACATCCCTGGGGTGTCACCTACTTATGTCCCATGTCCCCAAGGGTCCCCCCATCAGGGTCCCTTGTCCCTGGGGTGTCCCCCACCCCTGTCCCACATCCCTGGGGTGTCCCCCACCCCTGTCCCGTG